TCCCTACTGGGGATGTGCCCGCAACCCAGGTACATGCCCTTGACCGGAATCGAACCTGGGACCTTTCAGTCCGCAGGCTAACGCTCTATCCATTGAGCCAAACCGGTTTCAGTATGTCTACTTGCTTTTTGCTGCACTTTTTCCTACTTCTCTCCTAGTTCTGCTGAATGCTTCTTCCTCTTCTAGTCTGTCAGGACTGCTTCCTATTTCACTGGGCTTACCATCTCTTGCCTCTTGTCTCTTTTATTCTACTTTATGACACTTGTCTTATTTAACAAAAATGTATTTTAATTGATTTCAGAGAGGAAGGGAGAGGGAGAGAGAGATAGAAACATCAATGATGACAGAGAATCTTTGGCTGGGGATTGAGCCCGCAACCTGGGCCTGTGCCCTGACTAGGAATCAAACCGTAACCTCCCGGTTCATAGGTTGATGCTCAACTCCCGAGCCACGCCAGCCGGGTGGCATTTGTCTTTTTTATTGACTGGCTGCTAGTTACGTGCTTTTATGACCAGTACCTGAGGGGCTCCTAGGAAGGGCTTGTCTCATCTCCTGTTCTACTCTACATAATAAGTTGTCTTGGTGACAGCCCACCCCTGCTGGTCTTTTCATCACTGAGTATATGTTAATTGAGAAAAGCACTGGTAGTACTGAAAAATGCCATACAAATGTGGGTACAATTTAATAAGTACAGACAGTTTGTAAGCTGAGCTTACATCTACACAGAGTAGATACAGGCCCGCTCTACCTTTTCCACATCTATACTAATTCTTGTACAAGTATATGGATCTAGCTCAGGGGTGGGCAAACTTTTTGACTCAGGGCCACAATGGGTTCTTAAATTGGACCGGAGGGCCGGAACAAAAGCATGGATGGAGTGTTTGTGTGAACTAATATAAATTCAAAGTAAACATCATTACATAAAAGGGTACGGTCTTTTTTTTTTTTTTTTAGTTTTATTCATTTCAAACAGGCCAGATCCGGCCCGCGGGCCGTAGTTTGCCCACGGCTGGTCTGGATCCTTTAGGTTTAGCAGCACTCTTTGGCTGTTGATCTAGGCCTGCCCAAGAAGTTTGTCTTCCTCCTACTCTAAAAACTTTGCTTTTTACTAAAGCTTTTCTCCCTTTTCATCCTTCCTTTGACTCCTCTCACACGCCATCTTGGAGGTGTTATAACTCGTTGGGAGAAACAAAGATATAGCCTCTATCCAAGTCTCTTCAGAAAGGTGATGATAAAACTTTCATATACAATGCTCTATTCTTTCATTTCTGCTTTTTACTGCCTGTATTCCTGAATTGAACGGTTTCAGCCTCCATCTCTGTGTCTCTCGCCTGTCTTTCCCTCTCTCACTTCTCTTTTCTTAGTTGTCTCTCCACTTAACTCTCTGTCTTGGGCTCCATTCTAGCCTCTCTTTCTGATTGGCTACTTTCCCTCTCTTCTGTCTGATTGACCTCTACCCCACCTCACCACCTCTGTCTGCTGGATTCTCCCTGTCTGCCTGCAGTAGTACACGTATGTGATAGCACTTTTTAAATTATAAATTATATTACTGGGTACTATAAGATACTATCATGTCTTCTTTCTTTCCTTATTGTTTTTCCTTTCTCTGCCTGCCTTCTTTCTCTCTACTCCTTTCTGTTTTTCTGTTTCTGTTCCTCTTGGTGACCTTGCCGGCCTGTCAGTCAGCTCCTTTCTTTCCTTGCCAACCTGTGTTTTTAACTGCCATCCTTCGCTATCTGCTCTGTTCTCGTGTCTCTGTGTTTCCAGGTTCCTCTCTATTTCTTTACCTGTCTGTCCTGTCTGTCCTTAGGCCTTTATCTGTGCCTGTGTGTCTCGCTTTCTCCAGCTGCTTGTCTCCCTCCCTGTCATTTTCAATGTGGGTCCCACTATGTGCCTTTTGCTATCTTCCTGTACTTGAAAAAATGAAAAGAATTAAAATACTATATAACCGGTTGGTAGAGAAGAAAGTTATTTTTTAAAAAATATATTTTTATTGATTTTAGAGAGGAAGGGAGAGGGATAGAGAGATAGAAACATCAATGATGAGAGAGAATCATTGTTTGACTGCCTCCTGCATGCCCCCCTACTGGGGACTGAGCCTGCAACCCAGGCATATGCCATTGGCCGGAATCAAACCTGGGACCCTGCAGTTCCTAGGCTGACGCTCTATCTACTGAGCCAAAACAGCTAGGGCAAAAGTTTTTTGTTTTAATGAGAAGA